AACCATGTTTTGTACGCGCATAGTATTAAGACTCAAGAGTATCACATGAATGAAAAACCCTACATAACTTAACCAAGAGACGATGACGATGGTGGTCCCGTTTTTAGTCGTGCCAAAGTAGAAAACAAACATTTCCTTAGATTACCTCTGTTTTTGTGTGTTATAGATTATACTGCTCTCTCTGTTGAAGTGTTTTGCAATGCGGATCAAAACAATTTAAAATAACTACTTAATATCTTTTCAAAATTCAGTAAGTACCTACATACATACACTATAAGATAAATGAATAAGTACTTCCATAACCAATAAAAGACGACGACAACGTTCCTAAACCAATTAACCAAACACAAGTGTAATTTAAAGCAAGAGCTTATTCTACTATGCTTTAAATACGCTGCGCAGTATAATTATACGGCAAAACGGCACGTGTTCACTCCTTCCTTCCTACAAACAGGGGTCCTTTATGAGAGGCGTGAAGAATCATTTTTGCAGGCCGGCAAGGTGAGGATGGTTGGTGTGGCAGTTTATAACTGCTGTACCAGCTATCTTCGCGTTTGGACTTTATCACCACTTAGCATCAGGTGGGGTAGAGTCATTTGCCTACCTGACTAAATATATATATATACGTTTACCTTATTACCCCGTGTACGGTGTAACTAATGCGAACTGCACCATACACTAGAGTATATACAATTAAAAGTGAAACTGCTATACTAAGAGTAGATAGTTGCTTTAAATATTGTCTCTCCCTGAACAAATTTCAACTACCTATGTAGTATTTTTTCGTAAAACATCGGAATTGTTATATTAGGATTTGCCCTAATCTGAAAGCCTAGGGACGATGATGATAATGACCTCTATACGTTATTGAATGTGTACATAAGTATAGAAAACTTCTTTCGTAAACTGATACGCATTATAGAATACACAATGAAGATAACACACATTTGATAAGATAAGTCAATTTTACGGCAATAAATTTATTAGTCAGAAAAGTCAGTCACGTTTTTCTGATACTTTCAAACTTTGTATAAATACTAAGATACATATGCAAAAAAGAGATAAGCATAACAGCATAATTTAAGTGAATACGAAACCTCTGAACAAGGCAATGGGACAGTTCTGTTATTCAAACGCGCTATTGTGAATGAAAAATTCAACCAATTTATATTATAATATAAGTACATCTCTCATATAATTATACAACAGAAGTTGAAGATATCGAAAAGGCAGGCACTAATTTGTAATTGACTTAATCGTTGTTACTATATATAAATACTATGCAAGTCACTTACTAATGAATTTTTAAATGTATGTAAACGATCTCAAAACGAAACGTAAAATTTTCGAAATTCTTTTACATCGCATATAATGTTACATCTTACACTTCATGTCATTTCACTGTCTCATTGCTCTGTACAACTTGTATGTATGCGGATTAACATGGCCTAGATTTAGTCAACACCAGACAAACTTCGATTCCGGATAACGTAACGGGTTGGGAAAACTTTTCTTTTATTATCTATTCTATCAAACCTACCAATTTCAAAATCACTGCTACAAAAATGTATTCAGCGTGCTATAGAATTATGATCCGATGTCTACCTACTTTTTTTCTCTTTGGAGGTGGGCGTTAGCGGCTGCAACAGTTTTATTTATACTTCAGACATGTTTTTATGTAATGTATTTGTCGTAAATAAATTATTAATTAATATATGTTCATATTATAATATATTATGTTTAAAAAAAATCGACATTATGGTATATAAAGAAGAAAATTGTCGCATGCTATGCAGTACAAATACAAATTCGTAACATGCGAAACTGGTCCCGTAGCGAAGGTTTAAAAATGTTAAGCAAAAAAAACTGCTCAGCTATCGACCTTCCGAAGTTTCCGCCGCCGGGCGAGGGTGGAATTTGCGATCCCACCCCAACCACTCATGCCACCACCACCCCTACTTTCAATCCCTCTCTACCCCCGAAGGACCTTGAAGGGGTTCCGGGCATCACAGAATCAGCTGTTCCAATTTATCAAGTAACTTTAGTACCATGGTATTTTCGTAAACGATAGATATTTAAATGTGGTATGCCTCAGGGTTTATTTTTGGGACCTTAGCTTTGTACATTTGTTTTCTGTAATGTATTTTAATTTGTTTCATTGGTACTTGATGTGGATTCTAGAGAAAAAAAACTGCAGAGAGTTGACATAAAAAATCTGTACAGTACAGATAAATAAGCTTCACACAGATTTTGGTTTTATTTTGATATTGAGAGATTGTAACGTCGAATTATTCTGAAGTTATTCTTGTGCGTAATATGAGCTTTTATAGTAACGATTGACAGACTTTTTTCAAAGCTCAATGTAAAACTGAGATCTTATAATAAACTAAGATGTTCTGAGGCACTAAATATGAGAGCTGAAATAGAAGAGTAGAGTACTTTTGCAGCCGTTGCCGAGCAACGGCGTGACCTCTACGATGTCCTGGGACGATTAATAACGTTCCTTCAGAAATATGAGCGGTGAACGACGACCTTGTTCGTCCCGCTAATTTCATTTCTGAACCTACCTCCCTCCTGGGCTCTTATTACTTTGTAAATACTCGACACTTCTTTATTTTCCTCAGAAATATAATTACTCTAGCTTTTGTGGGGCTACGGTACTCGCTTCGAACGAAAAAGCAATTATTGAAACGAAGTCCCTGAAGATGTATAATATAGTATAAATATACAATCCGTCGATGCAGATTATTAATTTCATAAAGTATAAGTACATATTTTAGACTACGCTTTGATTGCTTGATTAATTCCTAGAGACATTACTTGAGAAAGTTAATTTTTAAAGACTAGAAAAACGATTTATTTTCTCTCTTTTTTTATCATTATCTGAATCCCAGTAGTAGTTATCATTTTCCATAAAGGTTCTGTCATTATCGCAATGAAAACACTACTGTCTTAGTCTTGTTGTTGTTTTATACGTAATTATCTATGAGTGGACACGATACTTTAATTTTTAGTTCATTGTACTTATTTGGTTACTAATTATTAGGTGTATAAGTGCTCAAACTCTATAACACTGGTATATCGTCGTATTCTTAATTTTTGACAGCTAACTATGCAATTATAACATAATTATAGAGGATCGAATGATTGATTTCTTCGTATTAGCAAACTCATTTGATCATACACAAGTCTTGTTCACAATCAACATTACAATGAAACAGGTGGACACGACAGACCAGGTGAATATAATTTTGCATCTAACAGAAAATGGCAGTATATTTGTTATATAATGTGCGTATGCATTCAGTCTGTCTACGTGCATGAGCTGTTCCTTAAATAAAACACTATGCTTTATTATTTGTCCAATGGACAACAACATTTTTACGTCTTGTTAGCATGAACGTTTTCTTTATAGTATGTGAAGCTTCGTGAAAGAAGAGTTGATTTGAATGCTGGTAATGATAGTTTTTTAAGAATAATACTCGTGCTTTTTCTAATATTTTCCGCATAAATAGGATAGTGCAAATAATGATAATCAAAAGTTTACAAACTCTTTAGTTTTTTTTATATAAATACCTACACCCACCAATCCGCACTGGGCCCGCGTGGTGGGTTATGGCCCAATCTCCCTATTCCATCCATAGGGAAGGCCTGTGCCCTAGCAGTGGAGACATTAATAGGCTAATGATGATATAAATACCTATATGCATTTTATTCATTCATTGATATAAATTGAACGACGACAGTAATTTTCTGTATTCGAAATACGTTATTCAAGCCATAAACTTATGATATTAAATGATATCGATAACAGGAGTTCGGAGAAAACAGTCTCCACAGTTGTTACGAAAACGTAGTTTAAAAATAAATTGTTCAAAGATAACATTGACGCTGCGCTTGCGCAGGCAAGCTATACACAGACGGACATCTCCATTATCCTGCATACCAATGCACACCCACACTCATTGTAATACATACAAACCTACACAATCGTAGCTAAATGAGGACAAATGATTCGTTGCGTTGCTGAATTCGGTGCCATAAGCATTATTTGAAATGTAGCATGTGCTTTCTGTAGTTTTTTGTCCATTTTTCACTTTTAATTTGTAGACTCTTCTTTCTTTTATTCGGCCTAAAAACAGTTTTATTGATTTCCTTTCACCTTTATAATCTGCTTGTGGCAAACGAGAACAGGCCATATCCAATAAAATCATTCATATGTGTCTCTGCTGGTGATCCAGGGCCCCGGGGGTAGGGGTTTGGGTTCAGGGCGGCAAGGTGAGAATGGCTGGAAAGCACACCTTCTACTGCATCTAGGGTTACCATTTAGGAATTTCAAAAGTTCTGACAAAAATCCTGACATTTCGAAAAAAGTCCGGACTTTTTAGTCACAAAATGTTACTCATTTAGTTACAATGGTATGGTATTTAAATCATTATGTACTTTTATAATTCATATTCAATGTAATTTAAAAAATCCGAACAATTTAAAGATCCGGAAAAGTTCGGACTATAGTCTAAAAGTCCGGACTAATCCGGACGGATGGTAACCTAACTGCATCATCTATTTTCGAGACTAGACTGGCCTGCTATAAAAAATACATTCATATTAAAACAAGTTGGTATCAACAAAATATTTTAAGACTTAAAAAGAAAATCTGAGTTATTTATTGATATTGGTGCGTGGGCTTAGGAGTGTTGATGAAACTGAGTTTGTGTTCATGATGGATTTCATTCCCAATCTCCCACATTGGATTGAGTACGAAAGAAAAAAATGAACAGCGCCAACAATAACTTATATTATTTAACAGATCGGACAGTTACTGGAACGAGTTTTGGAGGCCAGACAGCAGGACCTCTTATTATGCTGAAGTTCTAGTCGCCAGTACTACTTTTCCCAATAAGGTGACAAATAATTGAGTATTTTTCCTTATGTGTTCTGCGAGATTTATGTTTATTCTCCAAGTCTTTTTCATTTATTTTTCAATTGATTGGACTTGACTAGAAACGAAAGGAGACGATAGGTGGAATAACGGTTTTACTGTTGTTTTTATATATTTTGTTTTATTTGTGTATGTTAGAATGTCAATTTGATTTAAAAAAACAATTCTCAAAAATATGGATTAATCTTTTAATTCTGCTCTATAATGCTTACGAAGGTGATTCATTAGTGATTTTGTAATTCTGAATATGGATTGATTTGCAATGCCAACAATCTAAATTAGTTAACACTTTTTGATTTAAACGTTTTTGTTATTTGATTTTCTCAAGAATACGCTCGTATGCTGTCTTTGAGGACGTCTAAATGATTAGACAACTGTTTAGAAAAAATCGGTTCACTTACAACGAATAGTAGTTGTAGTTTTTACAAATATTGATTGAATTAGGAAGTTAGTAGAACACTTCACTTTTAATAACAACGTTCTGTTTTTAAGCATTATCAATTGATATCGTCAGTTAGCTCATGGATTTAAAAATAATTTCAACTTAGTTATTATATTTCAAACACAAAAAACAATGCTCTCTTATCACAATAAAAAAAAAACGTTACTACGGCACCTACTTTCTGTACTTTGATGAATTACTAAGGTTGAATAAGACGATGTTACTTCTCTGCTTTATTGTTCACTTAACGTTAATTTATTTATAACCTACGTCCCGTATTTCATCACGACTCGCAATAACTTTAAGGTGTTCACTGAATATATTGCTAAAAGCTTCATCGTTCGATGAACTTATTTCTTCTGAATTTGACCTATGTTTTGTGCGCGTCCTCCTCATTTGAAGTCTGAAACACGACTGCCACGAAACTCATTCAACAAGCTGAGAGGATGTGGGCGGGGCGTGCGGGACGCGACGTCATTGGGCAAACGGCCGCCGCGCAATAATGGCCGCCAACGCATTCCGCCAATGAGCAGCGCGCGAGCTGAACGCGCGGTCCGTCCGGCGACCGACGCGACGTTGCCAGCTTTTCCGAAAAAAAATACCAGATTCGACCTTCTTAGGACTCCCGTTTTTTTTTGTTTAGCGCGTTATCATTCGGTAACGTGTACTGGGGACCTTATCCGTTTGTGAAATGGTGCTCGCGGTTCGAAGGTGGATTGCTCGTGTTGTGTTTTAGTGTACTATGGTGTGGTCGACGCCATCGGGAGAGGTGTTGATAGACATCGTCACAAGGTACTTATCGGTTCTCATTGCCTCCAACTGAGTCATGTCATGTGACAGCGTTGCTCCTTACCACCTCGTGGAGATGACGCGTCCCTTATCAGTATCACATTAAGACTGTCAATATCTGTTTGAATAGATATATATTGGTGGGTATCTGTCTGGCTTATAACTTTGTTAATTTAGCTTTAGTAAGTCAATACCTATAGTCTATAGGTCTGATTCTGAGCTTTATACTTTACTGGGAACAATTACTGGGATGTAAACAACAGTCATAACTTAGGTTATATTTAGGTAGAATGTACTACAATCATGTTTACTATGAGCTACTGTTCTCTTTTTAGGTCAAATCATAATTGGGTTGGCATTTGTTTATTTTGTATTCCGACTGTCGTTTATCAGTCGTTTACCTATATTGTCTAGTTCTGTCTTATCTATACCTAGCTTCTGAAGATAGCTCTTATTAATGAGTATCTATTAAAGTGTTATTTTCCCTGGGACAAAAGAACAGAAGATGCCGTCAATATGAGACAAAGATACAGGGAGATAAACATAGAAACATAACACTACAACACTGAGGTTCACTTGCCGAAGTTTTGCTAAATCTCGATTTAAGTCCGACCTCCGTGGCCAATGGATGGTTGGTTTCAAGGTGCTGCCTAATCGAGAGGTCCCGGGTTCGAATTCCGGTGGGCGCAGGTGTTTGTGTGATGAATACGAGCATTTGCATTGCAGTCATGAATGTTTAATATGTATTTCTATATAAATATACTTATTTATATATGTATCAGTTTATGTATTCTATCCACTACCCTAGTATCCCACTACACAATCCTACAGGCCTTACTTTGGGGCTGGGTTAATTGGTGTGCGCTGAAAATATATATTTATTTAGGTATTATACCTATTGAGTAAAACTTGGTCCACCCCACACAATAATACCAAATTGACATTGACGTTTTGACATGTTTCTATGGTTTAAATCTAGTATTAGTTGAATCGAGATTTAGCAAATTTGCTGCAAGTGGGCCTTCGGTCCATCAGTTCTTAATTCAAATTAAGCCTTAATCGTGCTTAATACATCGTTCCATCTTTGTCAATTATTGAAAGTTTGATTAGCTTTTCAATTTGAATTAGGAACTTTGGCGCAGGTGGGCCTTAGGCCTTACTTCTGCAACTCCGCGAAGACACAAATTGATTTTGGTACAGTTTCGAAGAACAACAACTTTCGTGATTCCGAACGAAGATATGATTTATCTTAACTTAAAAAAAAACACACCTACTGTCGAGGGACAGATAAATTAACGCATTTAGCCAGTTGCTGCTTGTTTTATTAAATGAGTGGTGTGCTTGAAAAACTATGAAATAAATATTATCTTAACTTTATCATGAACTAGCGGCCGCTTCGCTTCGGTGTAGAGCTGAGTGTAGACTACAGTTTTTCTTCTCAGGCTTGTATTTATACACAATGACATTCATCTATGATTCTTCTTATACCTGCATGCAAAGTCTCAGCCCGATCGGATTAAAATTGACAAAGTTTCATACAAACTTTCATTCCCTATTTTATCCCCTTGGGGGTAGAATTGACCAAAATCCTTTCTTAGCGGATGCCTACGTCATAACATCTACCTGCATGCCAAATTTCAGCCCGATCCCTCGTGTGGTTTGGGCTGTGCGTTGATAGATCACTATGTCAGTCACTCAGTCATCTTTGAAAAATAAAATCTATATATAGATATATATCGATTTGCTAAACTGGTTTAAAAGCGACTTGATATGAAAAGCTGCGGCTCGTTTATTTTGATTCCTTTTCTACCGCACGAGCACTAGCAGCGGTACTCAGAAACAGAAACTAATTCTTCAGTCAAATATAAAAGTTTAATTGACGTCTTAGTTACCGAATTTGTCATACTTCGTATTACAAAACAGGAAAACCGTCACGTTGGAAGGCAAAGTACATTTTGTAAACGCGTATTAAATGTGCAAAATTAAGAAGCATCAGAGATAGGGTTGCCACCTTTTTTTTGTTCAAATAAAGTACATTGGAACTTGAAAGTAGTAAAAAAAAGTACATTGTATCCAAAATAAAGTACTTTTTATTCCACTTTATAAGTAAGCTTAAAAATATACCTTACGTTGGTTCTAGCAACTTTTAATAAATAATTTGCAGCTACTAAAAATCTGTAGTTCTTTTCCGCAACGGGAAAGATCATGGCACAAAGCCATACAGCCACGACAATGTTGCAAGAATGAGCTAAGGGCGACATATTATACATACTGTCTGTCCGTTTTACGCAAAAATTCTTCCAATCAATCCCTTTTTGTATATTTTATGCATAGTCAATCCCCGAGTAATCAAACCACATAAAATAAAGTATTTTCGCGTACTTTATTGTTGTCATAAAGTATAGAGTACAATTACCCAAAATAACGTACAATACTTTATAAAAAAGTACGGGTGGCAACCCTAATCAGAGAGAACATGTTTAAACTAATTATCGAATTGCAATAGTTTCTTACTGAGTATTCAAGTAAATCGGTAATACAGTGGAGCCCCGGTAATCCGGCCCCTGGCTAATGCGGCACCCCCTATAATCCGACATCGTCTATTACATACAAATATTCGCTAATTCACGATTGAACAAGTTACAACTTGTACGCACCATCACTACTTATTATTATTATTTTGTGTGTTGTTTAATTTACTAAATTTGACATACATAACGAAGTATGATTTGTAATCTTATCATTGGATCTGTAATTTGTCGGATTACAAGGTACATTTTTGTAAAAAAATTCGGACTATAGGGGGTCTTAGGCAGTACACTATAATCCGACAAATTCGATAGTTCGACACTGCCCTGCAAAATGTTTGTCGGACTACCGGAGATCCACTGTATTAGCATTACGATAACGAAATTACTACTAATTTGACTCTTCAACCTTTAACATTTATTCTTAGTTTGCTTTCTAGGAAGCCTAAAAGGTCTGTTGATTGTTAACTCTTTGTTTGTATTCTAAAAAGTTACGTTATATTCTGGGAAGGTATTTGAGTTCTGGGGTTGTATTCGGAAGCTGTAAGTAATTAGATTTTTGAACAGTTTGAAATACCATATAGTGGGACTGACCACTTCTCGATATTATCTTTCTATATATATAAAACTCAAAGGTGACTGACTGAAATAGGGATCTATCAACGCACAGCCCAAACCACTGGAAGGATCGGGCTGAAATTTGGCATGCAGGTAGATTTTATTACGAAAGCATCCGCTAAGAAAGGATTTTGATCAATTCTACCCCCAAGGGGGTAAAATAGGGAATGAAAGTTTGTATGAAACTTTGTCAATTTTAAACCGATCGGGCTGAGATTTTGCATGCAGGTATAAGAAGAATCATAGATGATTGTCATTGTGTATAATACAAGCCTGAGAAGAAAAACTGTAGTCTACACTTCAGCTCTACACCGAAGCGAAGCGAGGGCGGGCCGCTAGTTTAAACATAAACCCCCTTATTAATAAACGTAGAATAAGCTTGAATTTGTTAGTTCATATTTTGTCTCTGTTCATTGAATGACAAATGCCATTTGAGTGATATGAACAAAACAAGGCGTACCTAATCTTACCTTATTCTCCGCTTATTAATAAGGCGAAATATGTATTGGATGAGTTTAATCAAATCCGGGTAGGCAGTTCAAACAAAGTGGTAGAGGTGTTTGAGAAATGATCTCAAAAATTGTATTTACCATCATGCATCAGGGATTCCTCTGATAAAGGTTTTATGTTGTATCAAAGGGCATCGTCAAGGGAGATGGATGTAATAAAGAATGTAGCCAAATATAAAAAAGTCTTTAGGGTACTAACTTGACTTGCTTGCGTGACCAAACATTTCTGATTCCTGCACGTCGAAACACGAATAAATACTCTAGGTAATTCCAATCCCAACTGAGTTTAGAACCCTACAAGTGTAAAGTATTCATGTACCCATAATGAGTAATAATAATAAATATTTCTAACTCTCACACCAATTAGCCTAGCCCCAAAGTAAGCACTGTAAGGATTGTGTTATGGGATGCTAGGGTAACGGATAGAATACATATACTGTACATATATAAGTATATAAATATAGAAATACATATTAAACATCCATGACTGTAATACAAATGCTCGTATTCATCACACAAACATCTGCCCCCACCGGGATTCGAACCCAGGACTTCTCGGGTAGGCGACACCTTAAAACCCGGCGTACAAACCACTCGGCCACGGAGGTTGTCCAATTAGTACTTCTACACACTACATATTTTATGTATATGAACTTGCCCCCTAAGGCCATCGGCTGGCGACGCCTTGGTTGTATCCATTTAATTTAACTGTCCTCACTCTGTTTAGTTTTGCAAAATTAGCTTGCGAACGAAATATACCTATGTTTTTTCATTTATTTATGTAGGATTTAGGGTGGAATGTTTACTCCTGTCCCTGAGGACAGGTAGTTCAGAACAGGTAATAATATCGATCAAACCGAACTGTGCCCAAGGCTGGTTAGTTATGGTTCCAACTTTCTGTAATTCTGTCTAATTTATAAGGTAATATATAAGCTGTGTGGTGTACTGTACTATAACTCAGTAGTTTCGATATTGCAAGGCTAATGATGATGGTAAAAGAATTCGTTCATTGTTCAATCAATCGGACTCTACCTACGTACAGTCTAGACAGAACAAGTGCACTTGTATTCTAATAATAGCTTTTATTACTACGTAATAGAGGCGTTGGCGATCTTAAAATTGTAGTCAACGATAAGTTCTTAACTGTAATAGCACTAGTAGCTTGCATGTTGCGCCTTGTGAAATCTTTTTAACTCAATGTGAGACTCAAAATCATTCGGTGTTTGTCAAATTCCATTAATAACTTAATTGAAGAAAAGTCAGTTTTAGTTAATTAAACAGATTGGGCTCTGACTTCTGATAGAAGTACTATAGTACTTTATTTTAATAGCACCTGCAGACAACTTTA